TTTTACTGAAATTACTTTATTTAGTAAAGTATTCAGTCTAAAAGTATAAAAATAAAAAAATAAAAAACGTGGGTCAAGATACGCAGCTGAGCTGCGTGTTGTTTGTACCGGCAGTTTTCGAACAGGTGAGGTTCAGCGTGAGGGGAGGCAATGGAAGCGATGCCTTTAGCTTTTTAGCTAGCTAGCATTTTGCGCGGCTAGCTTAGCGTTACGCTAGTACTGACAGGTGGGGGTAGTTAGGCGTGCTCCATTCTGATAACGGGGCGGGGCGCCCCGCTTGTATAATAGTAGTAGGAAACACTGACATAGTTATGCCATGAAATTAGCATATATAATTTATTTTCCCGGGTAAGTTTTTTTTACCGGTATTACATGGATGACATGATAAGGCCCAGCCCTAGTGAAGACTGGCTGAACTTATCCTTTAAATTTCTTTATGCTGGCGCATTAAGGAAAAGCTTTTGTGCTGTGCTCCATCAATAGCAACATATTAGAGCGCAAACTTCTGGGAAAATAATACAATTTAGCTGATAGGACATTTACTTAAATTCATAACATGTTAAACAAAATTACAAAACAAGTATTAAACTTAAATATAAAGCATAATTACAAACAAAATCCTTCTTCTGACCTTAATGATAATCAACTTGACCCTCTATCGTCATCACATAAAAGACACAAACTTCTTACCTTCCCGTCGTAACGCTTCACAATAAACTGATCCAGGCCAAGATCTAACAAAAAAAAGACAAAAAGAGAATATAAACAACAATATTCTAAAACTGAATATTTGGCTAACTCAAAGAGGACACCAAGATTAATGTCTGCCATCAAACTTCGTAACAACACTTTGTGTCATAACTGAACCTCAAATGGCACAAGCTCGACAGATAACGGCCATAAACAGTGACCAGCAGTCCGCTTTGACCTTTCTGATCAGTTACATTTTACACTACTTTGATTAAAAGAGCGAACAGCATAAATTTACGTGTACTGGATTCATCTCTGAACACAGTAAAACGAAGAGTTTTATTTTGAGTTCACCATCATACCAGTAAATATAATAAATAAACAACAAGTAAAAACTGGCACTTTGCCACTGTCTCAACTCTCTCCGGTTCCGCACCACACCAGTTAGGACTGCACGATGGTGCAGCGTGGCTACACCCGAACTTATAAGCAGTGCTGGGATAAGACAAAGACATTGAAGTCTGATTATAGGGCGATTAAGGACCACAACACGCGGAGTGGCTCTAACAATGACCAGTTATGAGACTACCCACTCTGCACTGACGATCCTGCTCACAGAGCAGGGAAACAAGTCACAGTGGCAAACCACCTACACCTGAGAAGAACCAATAAGACGAGAGCCGAGTGGGGAAACCGGAATTTAACTGAAGCTGAAAAAACATTTTACAGGCAAATACTGAAATACTCACATTTTAATCCAACTCAGTTTTATTTAGGGCAACATACTGGCTATTTGAAACGCACTTAAAGTTATTGGATTGTCCCATAAATGAACTGTCATCTCTAGGGCTGGATGATATGGAACAAAATTAATATCTTGACATTTTAAGATCAATGGCGATGTTCGATATTGTATTCTTTCCATAAAGTAATAACAAAAATATATTTCTGAGTCAAAGCTTTGTCCCAATTGCCACACAGGCACATTTATTAACAACAGCTGTAACTGCACAAAATAAATGTCTAAAAATTAAACTTTTTACATGTATTAAATAATAATCCTGTTCAGCTGTGCCGCCTTCACGACATTAGTAAGCATGTGTGAACTGCAGCTGCAGGTCCGACAGACTTCAGCCTCCTTCCCTGAAACAAATCACAGCATGAAACTCATTTAGTCGTGCTGTGCCTTATGAGAGGAACAGTGAGAGCGCAACATTAATAAAGCAGCAGCTTATCATATCGCTAAAGACACAGTCCAGGCTCAACTGTGAACAAGATGGCTAAAGCGTTAGCCATCTTGTTAGCCGCTAAGGACCGTGTCCTTAGCAATATGATAAGCCACTGCTGTATTAATGTTGCAACACCTCTCTGTTCCTCTCATAAGGCACAGCACGGTTAAATGAGTTTTGACCCGTGGTTTGTTTCAAGGAAGGAGGCTGAAAGCACAATCAGACTTGCAGCTGCAGTTTCACACACGCTTCATACTCCACTTATAGCATCGTTTTAAATGGTGAAAAACACTTGTAGTGCTAACTTTTGTCGGGACTTGTTTTAGGCAACGTCTACAGAAAACATTTTTCTGCTACTCATCTGACAATTTAAATCCAAACTTTTTCCAAAAGAGTAACCATCGTTTTTCTTTTTGCTCAGCAGCTAAGCTGCTCTTCATATCTCCCCTGCTTACTTGTGCTAAACGTCTCCCGCCCACCTCCTGGAGAAGCAGGAAGCTGGGAGAGCACAGCTGAGGGGCTGTGTTTGTATTCAAGGGGGGAGAAGGAGGGGCCGCGTGGGAGAAAAAAAGACAGCAGATAGATTTTCAAGTACAACACTATATCGATTATATCAATATAGTCTCATCTTATATCACAAATAAAATTATCTCGACATTTTTAAAATATCGAGATATCGCATAGCCCTAGTCGTCTCCTACCTTCAAATGGAAAACCCCCAAATCTCAACTTCTAGGATCTACACCCCAGTCTTTCAACTGGGCTGTTTTATCTTTTCTGAGTTCAGAGATCATTTACAGTCATCTGATAAGAAATATCAGTATGTTTAGCATTGAAACAGTAAAAACACGACAGTACAACCAAACATGGATAAATGATGTAACACTCATGCTGTGTGTGGAATGATATTTTGTTGAATAAAACGGCAAATATGGGGAACAAGCTAGACATTTTTGTTTACCAGATAGAGCTAATGGGGAGTGAGAAAGCAGCATAGGTGTGACAGTCCAGAAGAAGCTTTGATTAAGTGGAAACTGCAGTTTTGGCTCTTGCTGTGAATGAATGCTTAAGAACTAAAAGTTATTTAATACAGAGAATTTAACTACTGCTCTATGGAGGCTTATGTTTCTGTTCTTACATACAAAAAAGTATCACACAACGCAACTTTTGTGTTGAATTATAACTCGGGGAAAAAAGTGCATCTGAAACACATGCATGCCAAGAGAAGATCCTTGACTTCACAAACCTCCCATGGCTGAAGGTCAAATATCAGAGGCTCGTTGCGTGATACCCAAGATATGCTCTGTGTTGAACTGTTAATTGATACACCAGCTGTTGTGTCGTGATTCACTAAACTCAGTCCTGTGCTCCTCTGGTCCTTATATTTTCATAGCCAGTGGTATTTTTATACCAAGAACTGTCATAAAACTCAGAATTTCCCAGGAGGTCAAGTGTTCCTGTAGCGGATGGAGCAAATGTAAGCAATGTGGAACGCCTACATTTAGCTATATGTAGTTATAAACACAAGCAGCCTGCAGACATGTACTGTTTGTTGCACAGGAGGGAGGGGTATAAGATGCAACCAACACATTGCAGACATGTACGATTCTGAATATATTTTCAAATGTCAAAAATCTATTTTGCCAACATTTATCTGTGCTGCCACTTTAAGAGTCAGCATAGTTGCTGTGTGGTGGTGTTTGGCCTAGAATAGTTGCCATAGCTGCTACAGATGAAACATGTGGAGGTGTGTTTTCACATAATTTCACATTTTCTTCGTTGAACACTGAATAAAATACAGTAGATGTCTGTAAGTAAACTGTGGAGTTATTTGAACATGACTTTCTTCAGTTATGACAAACATTTGATTTGTGTACTCATTTCTTGTGTAAAAGACAATGCTAATCACATTAGCTTACTTTTGCTTTTCCATATTAAGTTAGCATCTATTCAAATTGCTGGTTAAGTGGGTTTTTTTGGGGCATGTGTTGCACACTATTTAGACATGAAAATATATAAATCAGTATTTAGTCATGTAAAATAAGGCACAGTCATTTTAATTACTGTAGTAAATTTGTACTTCTGTTTCATCTCAGTTTCAGGGATTCAGTTAAACATAAGCTTACCAGCTGCCACCTGGTGTCTGATCACAAACATGATAATTGAAGATAATTGTGATGCATGAATAATTGTTTTATGGTCACATCGCAGCCTTCTGAATCATAATCAAATCATAAGGTGCCTAAAGATTCCCACACGACTATTACACATTATGTACAAGATGTCATGGGTGTATTTTGGACTAAATTTCATGTCAGACCTAATGTTAGATAAACGTGATGTAAAAAATAATTTGCAGAAAAAGTTATTCTCAACAGATCAAACAGCGTTGATGAAGATGAGGAGCGCAAACTCACTCTCAGGCTGTTTCTCATTGGGTGTGATGGAGCGTATGAAGTCCTGGGGTGTCATATAAACCTCAGCATCGCCGTGCTCGTTGATGACCTTCAGTGTGGCGAAGTAGCGGAAAATCTTGTCTGGAGTCGAGTAGGCCCTTATTCTGTTCTCGTACTCCATCACCTGACGACCAGACAAAGGCACAACTGATGGAACAAGTTAACACACGAGACACGAGATCCAGTCTCGTGTCAACAAAACCAAACACCAGCAACTTTCTATCGTGTGTAAAGCTAGCTCCTCAATAACAGGCGGCGATTTCATCGCCTACACAAGTGTCCGGCGCCGCCTTTTCTGATTGAAGGTTTTTTTTTCCCCCTTTGGAGCCAATCGACGTGCCTGCACGTTAGTCACATGATCAATTTCAGTCGTTCTAGCAGGAAAGACACAGTCTCTCAGCTGAGAGGAGTTTTTAAACAAAAAAAAAAAACTTAAAGCATTAAAATAAAAGAGAGAATAATTTAAAATGAATATTTTTATTTGCGGCTGACAGCTCTAAAAGACTGACAAGTTTTTTGTGGAAGAAATATTTTAAATTATCGTACTTTTTGCACTATAAGTCGTGTTTTTTTTGCATAATTTGCATGCCCTGTAACTTATAGGCAGAAGCGACGTATTTATGGATTTTTTCCCATATTTATAAACCAATTTTTGGCTGAGATATGACCGTTTTCATTCATTCTGACTAAAAATATTAAACATTACCATTTTCAGCCGCTAGATGGCACTCGAGTAGTATGGCATGCCGTTGTGTCATGTAATAGGTAACAGTGTCTATTAATGACGCAATCGGCTTGCCACAGCCTGCCACCTTCGTTCTGCACGGCTGGAGCAACGGTCAAATCAGCTGCATTTCGCTGCGATGTCCCAGCGAAATGCAGCTGATTTGACCGTCAAAGTGCATTTATTAAAAAAAAGTTAAACCGAGACACAACTTTGCTATAATTTCTAGCAAACAAATAATTGTTTTCAAGTGTTAATCTTGTTAAATTCTTGTTAAAGTCCTCCCGTGCACGCTCCCGCAGCCGCCATTTGGCAGACAATTGATTTTTGGCACAACACCGGCCCACGTTTCCGGGTTGTCAGCTGTGACACGCAACCAACGCGACGTGTCAGCGGCGAGGCATAATAGACGAGATGTATACGGTGAAGCGACATATTTACGGATTTTTCCACTTTATTAGACATATTAGGACTGATGTGACTTATTGGGCGGTGCAACGTGCACGGTGGAAAATACGGTAGTGTTTTTAAGCACTTAAATAAGGTGGTTAATTTTCCCCCTGAGAAACATGAAAAGTCATAAAGTTAAAGGATTAAACCTGTATGATTCAAATGTTCACAATATGTTGATTTGAATGTTGATCAGATTTCATGATCTTGCCTGTAGTTACAGAAAACAAAGTGAAGTTTCTGAGCTGCATGCATTTGGCTGGGGCTGCTGCATTCATTGTGAAATAACTATTCAATTTTTAAAAATGTACGTTATCTAGCTCTACAAATTGATTGACAGCTGCTGCAGATTATGGCTTCATGACTTTTCAGGCCTGTGACGATGATGAACCTTTTTCAGTAATCAGTGTTTAAACCGTCTGCATTCGCCAACATTTCCGCCGCACGGAGCATCTATGCGTTTATGTTGGGAAGTGACTTCAGCCGTCTACTATGAGCTATTAGCCTCCGACACAAGTTATTGAGAAGGTCGATAAAGAGGCAAAAATCAAAAACAAAGGAGTTAAGAAAGTAGAGGATAAGAAAAAGAGCTTGTCGCAGCATTAAAAAAAAGTAATCAGCTTAGACGTATAGGTAAATTAACCCCAGCACTGATCCAACACAACCAAAACAGGAAGTCAGGTGCCTTCAGGGCCAGGCTGACAGTCAGGTTTAAATGAAGGAGGACTGCGTGCTGATTTCGGAAACTATTCTCTTCAGCTCTGTTACACATGTTAAGTCATTTGAATGTTTGTTTTGACGCCACCATTCGCTTTTCAGCAGAACGTTTCAAACAGATGCTGCAAACCAAGAAACAGACAGAGCGGTTTGTGTTCTGAAGCAAATTCACATAGGTGGTAATTTCGAGTGACACCAAGTGAGTGTGTTCACTACAGCAGCTCCCTGAGGAAACGGAAAACGTGTTTTAAAGCTTCAACATTTTGAGGCTGTCGCTTCAACCTGATGAAGGAAAGCGTCTGTGAGACAGCAACACAGACTCTATCCAAGAAAAATAAAAGGTTTTCTTCTAAAGACATATTTGCTGCTCAGCTGAACAGTGAACTCCAGTGTCTTCTGGATCTGATTGGAAGTTTTAGACTGTTAAACTAGTTTTCAAACCTAAAGTCCCATTTTAATATTCTTACCGAGCGGAAAAACAATTTTATTGTGATTACTTTTTAACTATTAGATAAACAGAAAGTGGCTGAAAGGGAAAGCTGTTGGGGTGAGGAGAATGCATACATTTTTACAGTTTACATCTTAAGATCCCTAATTTTTACTAAAAATATTAAGTAAATCAGGTGTGACCTTGCTGAAATAAGTTGTAAACAAAAACCTTATGATTAAAGTTTTCATATTCTATTTTCCCACTCTTCATTGGCACAGAATAAAAATACACTAATTCAATTTAAAATATTTTAAACATTTACTCTTTACCATTTTGCCTTCAGACAACAGTTTATTTTCTACTTAAATTAGCATTCGATGTATACATTTTAGGAATTGTAACTCGGGTAAGGCTACGTCGGAAAAATATCTCTGACTGGAGATGATGTAGCGAGGCTCAACGTTGCCCAACAATCGTCGGAATCCGACATCCTCACCAATGGAAAAAAAAAATCCACACCGCCGACATTTTGAATTTTCCTCTCCGCCGTGAGATCAGGTAGGCGTGTGACGTCATCACGTTGCGCTGCTGCTGCTGCAGGCATCATCGTCACTGGGTTGTCATACAAAAACAGCGTCTTTTATATCGGTGAGTTATTTTGATGGAATGGCCGATATTGAACTTTAACGCTAATATCGTCCGATACCAATACATGCCAGTAATATTGTGCATCCTTAATACATTTTGGCTAAATTAACTACAGAATGCAACAAATGATGAAGAATTCACCGAATAACTGTGTGCAAAACCTAAAGGGTCAAAACAAACCAAAGAAGCTTTACATACAGGAACATTTTTAAGATCTTTCCAGGATTTGCAAACTCAAGTTTGGTCCTTTGAGCTTAAAGGCAGTATCTCACTGAAGCGCGACTGTTTGGAGACTAGTTGATGAACTTTAAGCTGCGATCTCGCTGAACTCTGTGAACAAGTGACGCACGAGCGAAGTGGTCATGTTGGGAGCAAGCAATTTTTAAAATCATTGCTTAATGTTGAGTGCACTGCTTGCAAAACTGCATTCTTGGCCATGCGCATTATTTTATTGTTCCTCTGTACCCACACGATACCAGCCTCAGCTCACTTTGTACCCACTTTGGCAGCAACACCACACTTATGATGTCATCTGCTCGAGTACAGTCTTAAAACATATATAGGGTGATTTGGATAAGTTTTTAAATAATCATTTATCATCAGCATTATTTTTACATGTTTACTGTCAGAGGAGAGCTCTTGTGAAGCAATTAAAGTACAGCTCTAGCATTCTTAAGAAGGGTTGGTGACGTCTGCGGTAAAATACAAATGGGTTTGAGACAGGTTGAAGACACTAAACATCTCTGACTACTTTGAGAGAAAAGTTGTTGCAAATTTTTTGAACATGCTCTAATTCAGGAGACTCCCTCATGAATGCTGCTTGCCAACTTTTCATAGCCCACTGAGATACCGCCTTAACAGGTTTTCTAGTGTCATAGAAAAATGCACAAATTTACCAAGATATGAAATTCCTTTTAGGATTTCCCCTGCATATGGTGAAACTATACCTCTGGTCAAGTCCAGGACAGTGAGAGCATAAAGTTATTCTTCAAACAAGATAATTCAACAGACTGCAATCACTGAGGACAGAGTGACTGTGCAATTTCCAGCTCTGCAACCATAACTTTTATGCATCTGTATAATGGCATCCTATTTCATTGTAAAATCTAAAAATGGCATCTATTGTTCAAATCTGATTTCCTGACTCCTGTTAATAAAAATCTGTAGAGCTATAAAATGTATTTACCTGGCATCAAATCAAGAACTGTCGGTTTCTTCTTCTGTTTGCATTCTAATGCCCAATTAAGAGAAACGAAATTATCAGAAAATTACATTTCTGCTGTTTATGACAGCAGCTGATTACCTCTGAGGGTTCCTGTAAATATTCTGTCAAAATATACTAACGTTAGCATATTGGACATTGATTTGGGGTTTTAATTTTTTTTTCCAAATCACTGTTCTGATGACTAACCGAAGGTTTGTCGTTTATTGATTACCTTGCGGTCACGGAATCCTGAGCGGGGCTTCTTCTTTTTCCCCTCTTCACCTTCATCTTTTGCTTCTTCATCTCCACTGCTAGACTCCAACGATTTCTCTGACTCTGTTTCTGAATCTCTGCCAAAAACGGCATCCTCGCTGGCCGGTTGCGTCGAGTGACCAACAGAAGGCCCCGCGTCAGCATACGCTCTGTTTTAAAGCAGCAAAACGGATAACAGTTCAGTTCCTGACGGTACAGATGCTGGTCATTCAATTAGAATATCATGAAACAGTTGATTTATTTCTGTAATTCTATTCAAAAGGTGAAACTTGTATATTATATTCATTCATTACACACAGACTGATATATTTCAAATGTTTATTTATTTTAATGTTGGTGATTATTAACTGACAACTAATGAAAACCCCAAATTCAGTATCTCAGAAAATTAGAATATTGTGAAAAGGTTTAATATTGAAGACGCCTGGTGCCACATTCTAATCAGCTAATTAACTCAAAGCACTTGCAAAGGCCTTTAAATGGTCTCAGTCTAGTTCTGTTGGCTACACAATCATGGGGAAGACTGCTGACTTGACAGTTGTCCAAAAGACGACCATTGATACCTTGCACAAGGTTGGCAAGACATAAAAGGTCATTGCTAAAGAGGCTGGCTGTTCACAGAGCTCTGTGTTTAAGCATATTAATAGAGAGGCTAAGGGAAGGAAAAGATGTGGTAGAAAAAAAAAATGTACAAACAATAGGGATAACCACACCCTGGAGAGGATTGTGAAACAAAACCCATTCCAAAATGTGGATGTGGGGGAGATTCACAAAGAGTGGATTGCAGCTGGACTCAGTGCTTCAAGAACCACCACGCTCAGACGTATGGAAGACATGAATTTCAGTTGTTGCATTCCTTGTGTCAAGCCACTCTTGAACAAGAGATGGTGTCAGAAGCGTCTCGCCTGGGACTGCTGCTGAGTGGACCAAAGTTATGTTCTCTGATGAAAGTGAAGTTTACATTTCCTTTGAAAATCAAGGTCCCAGAGTCTGGAGGAAGAGAGGAGAGGCACAGAATCCACGTTGCTCGAGGTCCATTGTCAAGTTTCCACAGTCAGTGATGGTTTGGGGTGCCATGTCATCTGTTGGTGTTGCTCCACATATTTTCTGAGGTTCAAGGTCAATGCAGTCATCTACTAGGAAGTTTTAGAGCACTTCATGCTTCCTGCTGCTGACCAACTTTATGGAGATTTCATTTTCCAACAGGACTTGGCACCTGCACACAGTGCCAAAGCTACCAGTACCTGGTTTAAGGACCATGGTATCCCTGTTCTTAATTGGCCAGCAAACTCACCTGATTTTAACCCTATAGAAAATCTATGAGGCATTGTCAAGAGGAAGATGTGATACATCAGACTCAACAATTCAGAAGAGCTGAAGGCCACTATCAGAGCAACCTGGGCTCTCATAACACCTGAACAGTGCCATAGACTGATCGACTCCATGCCACGCTGCATTACTGCAGTAATCCAGGCAAAAGGAGCTCCAACTAAGTATTGAGTGCTGTACATGCTCATACTTTTCATTTTCATACTTTTCAGTTGGTCAACACGTCTAAAAATCCTTTTTTTATTGGTCTTAATATTCAAATTTTCTGAGATACTGAATTTGGAGTTTTCATTAGTTGTCAGTTATAATCATCAACATTAAAAGAAATAAACATTTGAAATATATCAGTCTGTGTATAATAAATCAATATAATATTCAAGGTCGCTCTTGTAAATGAGTCCCCGAGGCTCAATGAGACTAACCTGTATAAATAAAGGTCAAATGAATAAAAAAAGTTTCACTTTTTGAATGGAATTACTGAAATAAGTCAACTTTTTCATGATATTCTAATTTTATGACCAGCACCTGTATTATGCTGTCATACTAGAACAAATATTTATTGTATTTTCCATCTTCTGCTTTACTCATCCGCTTTTCTACTTAAAGGGACGTAAAGGACTTTGTTTTGCATCTTGGTACATAAAAAGGCTATGATATAAAACAGAGCTAGCACAGAGGCAGATGACAGAGTGTTTAGCTCTTCTGGGTAAAACAATTCGTCAGACCAAACTCATTTGAAACTGAAATGACACCAATAACAATAAATAGTTAAGTTCATCTGAGACAGGCTAAATAATTCAGTTTAATGCGACGCAGGGAGAATGAAGTCTGAGGTGAAGGCCTGGAACCGTTTTATCCCATCAGACTCAACAGCCCTGAGGATCCATCAATCACTCGGCCTGCTGCAGCTCAGTCAGTCTGTCCCCAAAGAGTTTTAGCTCCAACACTCTCTAACACTGTATGTTAACTAAGCGCCAACCTTTTTGCTAATGAATACCCATAAAATACATTTATTTTAAAATGTTGAATTAATTATGGCATGTGCTGAAATCTGTATTTGAACACTGACTCAACTGTTGGGAACATGTGACACGGAATAAAAAGCTCGATATGAGGCACAAGATGATGCACTGAGACTAGGGTGAATTTATTTAATAGGACAGGAAAGCCATAAAAACAAGGCATTACAGATGTGACAAATGAACAGCTATTAATATGAGCTTGCTGCCAGAGACACTTTGTAAGAGTCTATACCAATTGACATTGAAGGGAAGGTGAACAGGTTGTTGCAAATCTCCTTCTACTGGGGTAAATATAGTATTTGCTGTTGAAATTCAATTTTAAAAAGCTGTTATACTTTCATTAATTTAAAAACAAAAACAAAAAGTGTCTTAAAGTGTCTTACTTTTTCCAGAGTATTCCAGCACTAGCAGACACACCGGTCACCCCAGCCAGGGCAGCCAGCATCAGCCTCCTCCGTCCGGCCCCTCGCACAGCCCCATTGTGGTAACGGCGGGACAGCTGCGATAAACCCACCGAAACTGCGGACAACGCCCGCAAGCGAAACATCCTGCAGAAAGAATATTTAAGAGGTTAAAGGCAATAAATTTAAATGCAGAAATCTGCACTTTTGTATTGTATCTGCATGGTTTCCACCATTTAGCATTGAGGTGTGATGTGGTTTTGCTGCTTTGCTGATGACACTGAATTTAAAGCAACATTTTAACAGCACCACTAGCACCTCCTTCTAAGCAGCACTAAAATTTACACTTAGTCATTTGTGCAAACCGAAAACCAAGGTAATGCAAGAAGTGCACCTACGCAATTTACATGTCGACATGCTAAGCTGTGACTGTCTTGCAGAGCACCATTCGGTGTACGAACATTTCTTAGTTTGAATAATGCACACACCACACCTCCTAAGCACCTGTTTTGTAAAGTAATGTACCCCTATAAAATCTCTGCGCTAATCTTAACAACACAAGAAATCCCTTGAGTCTCTTTTTCAAGGTAGACCTGAAAATGGGAGTGATCTAAGGTTGAAGTTGATGTACGACTATCGCCACTGCATCTTTGCAGAACATCTGGACAATACGCCACTTGAAATGAAGCGTAAACTCCGCCCACCTGGCGACCTGCTCTGTCAGCCGGCTGGTAAATGGTGTGCGGCCAGTTATGGAATTATTTCACAGATTTATTTCAGCACTTCAGTTTTCCTTTAGAGAACAGTGTAATTTAATGCAACTTCTTTGAATAATTTGAACCAATATATATATTTTATATAATGACACAGGAGCATTGCTTCAGTTTGTTATAGTGAAAAAAGTGCAAAGCTCTCAATTTACTGATCTGTCTACATTCCAACCCTCACCTATGGTCATGAGGTACGGATCATGACTGAAAGAATAAGATACTGGTTACAAGTGGCTTCCCTTATATAGTGGCTGGGCTCAACCTTACATATGGTGTGAGGAGCTCCATCACAGATACTTATGGAGTATTCTTGGAGTATGCTCCTCCTGAGGTGGTTCGAGCATCTGATTAGGATGCCTCCTGGATGCCTCTTTTTGGAGGTTTTCCAGGCATGTCCCACTGGGATGAGACCCTGGGCAGGCCCAGAACTTGCTGAAGGGATCAGGCCTGAGAATCCTGGCTGGCCTGGGAATGCCTTGGGCTCTCCCAGGAGGAGCTTCAGAGTGTCCATGGGGAAGGGGATGTCAGGGTTTCTCTCCTGGACCTATTGATTCTGAAACCTGACAATGGATAAGTGGTAGAAGATGGAAATTGATAATTCTCTCACATACACACACTATACAATAACATAAAGTCCTATTTTTTTAAACAATTTTCTCCACATTTACAACAAATAAGCAAAATTAATAAAATAGGTATATGTGATGGAATAATGTACTTAGTCAATTTGTTCTATAAATGTCTTAACGTTTTTAGAAAGTTTGGCAAAAAGGAAGTTACTTATTGAGATAAGTGTTAGTAACAGTTTAATGTTTGACAGAACCACTGGTTTAACCACTGGTTCTCAACTCTGGTCCTCCCACAGAACCAAAAACATGCACGTTAGGCTAATTGGTAAATGAAAATTGCCCCTACTATGAGAGTGAATGGTTGTTTGCCTTGTGTGTCTCTATGTGTCCCTGTGATGAATTTGCAATAGGTCCAGGGTGTCCTCTGCCTCTAGCACAGTGACTGCTAGATATGGGCACCAGTGATCCCTGTGACCTAGAATGGAAGAAGCAGCTAAAAGATAATGGACAAAACTTGAGAAAGTAATTAAACCACTGAATCAGAAGTTTTGGAGCACGGAAACAACTAAAACATGCAGGATAGTGTTCCTCAAGGACCAGGGTTGGGAACCACTGGGTTAAACTACACCTTCCTAAATAAATGGATTAAAATCCCAGATTCTTCCTGTAAAAAAAAAACAAAAAAAAAACAAATTTCTACTGGTACAGCTAAACTCCAGAGTTTTATTTTCAAGTGTATTGCCTTGTAATTCATGTGTCACAGAAAGATGATTAACAATTAAAATGATGCCTACTGGTGTGCACCTGTAGCTCCCGTGTGTGCCCTTTTCAAACCACAGGATGGTGGAGTTCACATCACTGAGGCCTAAAGCAACCACCTGTTGATATCCTATTAACAATTCAGGCACCAACTGTCAAATGAACTCGGCAGGAAGAAAAAAGAAGACATGGCATGTGTTAATTGGAGAGTTCAGCGGTCCATGACAATGGGGACAGAAGGGAACAGGAAAAAGCGTGCAAACTATTTTCTGAGCCTGCCACATAAAAAATTGCAACCAAAAAGTTTAAAGTCTCACAATAACATGACGTAATAGGACATTTTATTTAATTTATGGTATCTGTATAATCATTCTTGAAATCAAAGGCTGCTGCATATGTAGGACACTGAAGAAGTATAAAGTCCTGTATGAACATTCTATGCTAAAACAATTTTTACTCAAATTATGTCGCTTAAAAATAATAAACTGGTCGATGATACTACATATTGTCCTGATGCATGCTCAACAGTCCAGACTGAAGATTTTTTACATAAAAGACGAAACGTTTCAACAAATACGAGCCCGTCCAGAGGACCTGACTCAACCTTGTTAGACAGTACATATTCAAAACTGGTATATTTAATAAATTTCACGATATTCCATTTCCTATGGCAGCTGGTTCATTTAGAAAGAATTCATGCGTCTCTCAAACATGTGCCACATGAGCTAAAATTAGATCAAATTCATGGGGACCGTCGGACACAAAATTTTTTTTTCATCCATTTGACTTCTCGCTGCCAGCTGAGGAAAGCTAATTAAAGCTGAAATAATTATGTTTGTCTGAATCTTTGTAACAAGCCCAGGAAGGTAATTATTTTTAAAAGAATAATTTGATGATCTGTGAAATTCCCATTTGAGACAGAGTCTTGCAGTGTGTGCAGAAAACACTTTATTTTTATCCAACATACACTAATGCTGTTTGCAAAATGTCCTGGAGAAAAAGAAGACAATAAATAGTTAAAATATTTATTTTAAAATAAGCAGTGCATTTGATAGATTATATACAAATCTTAATAATAATACCTGGTTGAATTATGTTAAATATTTTTCCTTTATTCTTACGATAATATAGTGTATGCAGGCATTCCTGCAACAAACTAACCATGAATCCATATCATCACAATAAATTGGTTTGTACCCATTTCTCTCCAGTGACGGTGACAACTGTCACGTTTTTTGCCCCTTCCTTCCACAGTTTGTTTGTTTATGTTGCCATGCTCCCCTCATTGTCCATCTCTATGTTCAGTTCAGTGTTGCCCATCACCCATCCTCAGCACCTGTCACCCTGCACTACACCTACTCTACCCCGTCACAGCTGTCAGCTCTCATCATGTTCACCTGTCCTGCACCGTTCTTAAGCCCAGCTCAACTCTCAGTGCCAGATTATTGAAAGTTTGTTGCCAGTAGAAATCCAGCGCATCTTGTTCCGACTCCTGAGCACAAACCTCAGCCTCGTTTCTCAACTCCTTGCCCTTTCTGGATTTGTCTGCTACATCTGACCACGGCTTCCTTCGACTACGCCTTTGGATCCCATCCTGGTTCTGGTATCAGCTCTCTGATCTTCTGTGTATGACCCCTTCAACGTTTACTGGACCCTGTCTCTAGATCTGCCCTCCACGGACCACGGTCTGCTCTCCTGCTGTAGCTCTCGTTGCACAAGTGATGTCACCAGGTTCAGCTCTTGTCCAACCACAGACTGAGAAGGTTAGTGACTTATTCACAGCAAGTCTCAAAACTCCTCGCCCTCTTCGTAGTCACTAACCTGTCTCTCTCTGCAGACTGAACCCTGACCTCCACCAGAAGCTGCACTAAAAAGAAACCTTTTAAACCATTCCTGAGTTTGACGTTGTGCTGATCCAAAAACAGGTTCCTGTCAACAACAGTCAAATTAGACAAACCTTTTAATTTTTCTGCAGATAATCAAAATATTCATGCTTACACATAAACAAGCATTTGACACATATGTTGAGCTCGTTGACCTGGCGCCACTGAAAATAAGATTTTTCTTTTAGGTTTAAGTAGATTAATTTGTGTTCAAGAATAATTTAATAATTACACTAATATTTATCTGTCAGCTGGAGATGAGCTTTACGTTTTACTTGTATTAGCATAACTCTCCCTTTTTTAAGATTATATAAAATGTAGCATAAACCATTAAGTTGCAGATGGGAACAGTTCAAAACAGAAAAATAACGATTAAGTTTGTTTTTCCTCATTCTTTTGGCTCTGACAGTGCAGCTCATTATAGCAGATAAACACGATGAAAAGGGAAATGTTAGACTGCAGTATTTGTTAACAAAATCTATCAAATTGTACAGATCAGCTCATGAGAAGCCAAAACACGCTGCTGCCAATTATTGTGACTACGGTAGTTCAAGGACATGTTACCATTAATATGCGTATGTTTGAGTTGTGGGCATTTAACACATTCAGCAACAGTCACATTAATGGCATCAGTGCAAGTGCATAAAGAGTTATGGCAAAAATATTGATTTTCTAACATCCACATGGTGAATTAAACTTTTATCTGCCACTGACTAGTTAAAGTTCACATTTTAAAAGGTTAAAATTCCCACAATATTCTGGAAGATGTGTCCCACAGGACCATATTATCACCAGGTCATTTATACTCATCTTTTGATCAATAAAAGAAGAAACTATATAAAATTAGCGTGAAGCTTCCACAGAAGCCTGTCAATGATTCATTAACTAAAATTAATTGCATCAAAGTAGAAAAATACCTAATCCATGCAGGGTAGTGGGTCTCTAGATACACTAGAATAAAGCAAACAATTTTATTTAAGATATAGACGTCTCCTTCAACTTTTAATACATTACTTATGGTAAAAGCATCCACTAAAAATATAATGAACGCAAAAAAACCTTAACCTTGATCTAACAATTCTGAGTAAGTCCTTTATACCGTTAAACATTTAATGCCGTTTGACGATGGTCCTACAATATGTTCCTGAAACAGATTTATCTGATCATGTGTAGCTTTAGGTTTGTACCTTGAATTGACACTAATGATGCAACCCTATCTGTAATTTGTTAGTAAATGTGGCACTTTATATGTTGTGCAGAGATTTCATTTTAACACATAAGCATGAGCAGATGAATCGGACATCTGTGGATAGAATCAGGTGTGTACACATAAAAGGTTTTGCATGTTTGTATGAGTTTTTTGAAGACGCATTACTCTTTCAGAAAACACTTGTGCAAACCCCAGTCCATCCATGAATCACTGATGGACCCAGCCTTGTTCCACGGAAGCGAGCTTTCGGAAAACAAACGAGCATCACCAAACAAAAACAAACAGGAGCAGAACTAAGCTAACATGGAACACAACGCATTAAAAGTGTGAAAACAACTCCCTCGTATCGTTTTTAAAATATGACAAATCATCTCATTTGAACTACGTTGTGGTTAACTAATTGGTGTTAAAAAAAAAAACTGTAGTATGAGTTTTTATAACTGTTTATTGTTGTTGCTGTTGTCCATTGTTGTCATCTTTCTTTGTTGAAATCAGGTCTCTCTTGTAAATGAGTCCTCGAGGCTCAATGGGATTTACCTGTATAAATAAAGGTTGATTGATTGATAATTGTTTAAAGCGAAATGTTACATTGCTGTGCATCATCATCAGTCTTCCCGCAATAATAAATCTCTTGTTTAATCCGGCGGCTGGGTGGTCAGTTGCACAAACATCACATTACTGAGCAGCAAAGCTAGCATGCTTTCTCAGATGTTGAACATATCGGCTCTGATATATTGCTTCACAGCACACAGGGACATTAGGGGTGGGTAGGCTTCAACCCCCTTCAGGAGATTCAGAAATCCCACTTGAGCGGCTAGAAGGTATCGAAATCATGACGAGATGTTTTGTTAAAGAGCCTGTTGAGAGTAATCAGATCGTATCAAGTCACCTGCAAACAATGTTTTATAAAAAATGCTTTTCAATCCTGCAAACCACCTGGCACACCAAGATACATCAATTAAATCAACTAATTTAGATTTTAATAAATAACTTATCTGACTAAATCTATAATGTTCAACAAAACTTACAATGTGTTTTACAAAAAAAAAAAAAAAGGTGCTTTTTAACTTGGATTATAGAAAATATTGTCAAAAAAATGTAAACAAATGACCAATATAACTTTTTTGGCCAACTACAGTGACAGTGTAGTGACGCAAGTGGTATTTTGTACTTTCCACCAGGAATATCATCATTAAACACTCAAACGTTAAACATGGCGTACTGTATGTTTAACCCAAGTCTTGGTTAACATGAATTATGTGTAATTGCACAGATGTGGCAGTTTTACAGTGAGGGTCCACCTGAGCAGCTCATTATCCAAAACATGCCAAGCAGATGGCAGCTCATATTAGTCAATTAAAATGACACATTTTAGTGACCTCTGGAGATGCAAGGTGCAAGTAAGACACCAAAAATTACAGTGCAAGTGGTGCTACCCTGCCTTGTTTTGTTTAGAACTATTAGTTAGGTCGTAGGCAAAAGCCCATACATTTTAAATAATTTAATAAAGCAAAAACGCGTAGCAGATGCCTATTTATTGAGTAATTATAAACTACATTTACAACTAAATTCGCAATTCGTATGGTTCAAGCTTAACCATGGAGAGAAGTAACTGTACCGCAGGGCAGCTAGCTAGCTTAGCTTGAAAATAGCTGCTGTTTCACCGACTCGCAGCTAAACACAGCTACGGTACCGAACTGTCTCATAGCTAATAAAACGGCATGCTTACTCACATTAATGAGAACTAAAACACTGGTCGGTCCAAAATAAGCATTAGGGTTCACAAGACGTCAACAGCCTGGCTCGGTGCAGAGATGTAGCGACTCTGACGTGAGTTCCGTGTTCCACAGCAACCCAGGCAGCAGCAAGAATATTGCCGTGTTGCCAAATATACGACATTTATGATATTTATATTGTAGTTTTATGACCATACAATATAAAAACAGTTTGAAAAATAGATATTATATAATAGTTTTGGCATTTTTGTACACCCAAAATATGACTCGATTTTATTCTAGTTAACACCCGCATATTATCAGAAAGTAAATAGCTAGATTATCTGGCAACCCTAGATAGTCGGCTGCGTCTGCAACCCCGCCCCTAAAGGAGGACTCAGGCTCCGCCCCTCCCTCCGGTGATCTGGAAAGGACTGAACCAAAAATCACACTGGTAATAATTTGATTACCAGGTAAGTTAAACAGCACGTCATGCTCCCTACCCAACTTGTATTCTATCTCGTTCTTATACTTACAAATGACAGCATAAGTGGGTGAGTTCTAGAATTGCGCCGCTCCAGGTGGCTGTCTGTTGCTTTCATTCTGAGATTTTGCTTTTGGAAACTTTAATTCCTGGTTTTCTGGATGTAAATCACATTTTTTGGATGATCGTTTCCTCTGGTATCGGATGCTGTGCAGCTGGAAGGATTTTTACTGAAACTTTTTTTTAGTTTTGGACATTTGTTATGATGCGTAACCATGGCAACAAGGCAGTTTTCTACAACCAACAGCTGATTTACATCTCAAAAGCTCAAATAATATCTCAACTACAGCCCAAAATCTCAAGTGAGTTGAAAAGGATGTTCTGTGGACGCATTCTCATCTACCTGCCAGCTGTGCTCGAGTGCCTGACCACTGAGATCCTGGAACTGGAAGGAAACGCGGCTCACGACAGCGGAAGGACAGGATCGTCCCTCGGCACCTACAGTTGGCCGTCCGCCGCGACGAGGAGCTCTGCAGACTGCTGGGAGGAGTGGCCATCGCTCTGGGAGGAGTTCTGCCCAGCATTCGAGCGGTCCTACAGCCCGGGGGAACCGAGAGGCCAGCTGAGTCTGAGTGGACAAATCGGACGGCATCTGCAGCCAGTTTCTTAGGATCCACTGTGGGATGGACCTTTACAAGAGATCCTTCCCGTCTACAGCCATCAGCATCTATAACATCTCTTAATGAAATGAGGATCACGAGTTACAACAACAAATAATTTCCCTCTGGGATTAATAAAGTATTTTTGAATTGAATTGAATTGAATTGAATATTGTGCAATGTTTTATTAAAAATGTGAGGCAAATAGTCGAGAACAAAACCAAGTCCAAACAAATGATCTAACTCAGACTAATCTAACTCATTCTGGTTGTCATTAACTTGGCCACTTGTTCTAATGAAAATAACTTTATATTGTACACTTTTTGACTGGGATGTTAAAAGTGCTGCCAGGACCACATTTTTCCACCTGCAAAATATCACAAAAATTAGAAACATCCAGTCCTAAAATGATCCAGAATAATATAATTTCTAGGCTGGACTATTTTAATCCTTTATTATCAGGATGGCTAAAAAACCCTTTTTGAATAGTCCTAAATTGATCCAAAATGCTGTTGCCAGTGTTCTGACGAGTGTTAGATTATATTTATCCAATTTTCGCATGGCTGCCTGTAAAATTCAGAAAACAATTCAAACTCTTGCTTTAAACATTCAAAGCTCTCATCAACCAAGCTCCATCTTATATTAAACATCTCATTGTTCGTATTTTCCTAACCAAGCACTTTGATCGCACATTGAAGTTCCTAGAGTTTTTAAACTACCGGTAGTAGGAAAAGCTTTCAGTTTTCAGGCTCCTTTCATGTGGAGCAACTTCTAGTTTCCGTCTGTGAGCATACATCCTGTCTACTTTTAATATAAGACTTTCCTTTTTACTTTACTTTACTTTTTTCCCCTTTTATAGGTAGGTTGGCTTAGGTTTCCTGAGCTATCCCTTATGCTATAGGTTTAGATTGCTGAAGGACAAACTGACCATATTTCATTTTGTCTCTCTACAAAGTACTTTCCATGTTTGTAATTGTGACTGCCATTAACCTTGTATTTTTTCCTTTGTTTTTCTTTGTTATATAATCTACGCATGGACTAATACCTCGACACAGACATGACACAAAACCTGAGAGATGTATCATCTTCAGCTTGTCTATGCCAAGTTTTCAGCTAACAACTATTTGGGATCACCTGGTTGGTGCCAAAATACTACATTATGAGTTAAACTGTGTTATATTTGGTATTTGTCAGAGAACAAACAAAACAATTTAGAACAAATTGTGTCTTTGATACAGGCTATTAACAGAGTCAGTCAGAGTCAGAGATGCTTTATTGTCATTCGCACCTCATGTGGTACATGTGGTGGAGCGAAATTATGTACACAAGGTCCCAGTTACATCCAACAATAAAATGTATAAGAAAAACAGTAATAACATCTAAGATATGAACTAAGAAAAACATCAACTAAATATACACTAAGCACTCATAACATAAAACATTGAACATCAGCACAAACATGAACATGAGTCTGTGAGCAGATGTGCATGCATGAACACATCAACATTGAAACAGATCAGCAGCAACATTGAAACAGATCAGCAGCAACATGATATGGTTTTTCACAGTGATTATTCTAGTTAGAGATTCATGAGTCTAACAGCCTCAGGGTAGAAGCTGTTCCTCAGTCTAGTGGTTCTACACTTAATGCTCCTTAACCTCCTTCCCGAGGGGAGTGGGGCAAAAAGTGTGTGTGCTGGGTGAGTGGGGTCCTTCATGATGCAGGTGGCCCTCTTCCTGCATCTGGAGGTGTAGATGTCTGTGATGGTGGGGAGGCTGATTCCGACAGACTTCTGTGCAGCCTTCACCACTCTCTGCAAAGCTTTTCTTTCTGCAGCAAAGTGCCTATTCTTTTAAAAATTTCAGGGGAATAAAGTAGCTAAACAAAACGTAATTAAGCTTAAAATGATCAGGAACTGAACAGAAAATGGGTGAGAAAAGCAATAAAGTCTAAAGAAACACTTGGGAAGAAACTTTCAGTCTGGTCAGAAGAAAAAATGTTCAAGACCACTTTAAAATGTTACCAAAAAAAAAAATCAATTTCTGAAAGCTAAATGTAATTTAAAGAACTAGATGAATAGGGACTTCTGCACAACATTGAATGCCATAATTTGTCATTTATTTTATAATTTTACACAAAACAGGACAATTACAAGACACTAATGCACGGAATCACAGACAAAATATTTAGCATCTCAAAAATGGTATGAATAAAATCTGTGTGTGTGTGTGTGTGTGTGTGTGTGTGTGTGTGCAGAGCTTTTACAGGAAGTGCTGTGCTGCAGGGACTTGGAGTCTGCTGTCACTGATGAATGAATGAATGACAGTACTGCACAAATGTGACAGATCTGAACGACTGCTTTCTTAACAGACGACAAATTCAAACTACATGTTGTCTTTCATGCATATCTGATGGTGTGAATGCAAAATGATAACAGAGGAAGCTGCCTGGAGATGGCACACAAATGACACACAGGGACCTGACACAATAAAACTGAGTGAAGAGAAAATGTCTGTTTTATGTGACCCCCACATCAGCTACAATATGAATAAGATCCCGGTAGATAAGATACAAAGCTGCGCAACCGAGCCATTAAAATTTTTATTAAATTACTGAGCAGGTCAAATTATTTACTAACAGTACACACAAAGGAATCGTACCCATCAATACCATACCATACCATAATATACCATACAATACAATACAATACAATACCATACCAGTTTTATTTATAAAGCCCACGGGACCAAAGTGCAGTCTAGAAAAATAAAAGACATAAAAAAGAACTGACAGAAGTCACAAAAGATGAAAACATTAAAATAAATTTAAGTTCAATGTATTTATTGCAAAGTATGAAATCAATCATTGAAACAGGTTATTCTGAACTATATCAAATAGTACAGTTTGAAACAATTTAATCTTGTAGTTTTTCTGACACTGTGATCTAAGATTCTGGTATTCTGCACATTCAGTGTAAACAAAGCACTTAGCTGAAACCACCCAAACCATGTGAGTCACTTTCTTGACCTACATTAGGCTGGGAGTAGTCTGTGTATCAAATAAGGTGGAATCAGAGAAATGTAGAATCTCTGAGAAGGTTTTTTTGGTCAAAATATGAGTGAATCTGCAGCTAATATCAATTCAATTCAGTTTATTTATATAGCGCCAAGTCACAACAGAAGTTGTCCCAGGACACTGTACAAAAACATTCACATACATTATAAAAGCTAATTAGTAAAAGTTATCTATTTGAGGACGCCATCAGATTGCGCTGAGTCTTCATTTTGTCATATATGCTCTACCTGAGCAAGCACAAAGGCAACAGTGGAAAGGAAAAACTCCCTTTTAACAGGATGAAACCCCCAGCAGGACAAGCGGCTCTCTGCTTCAAACGGCTGGGGATACCAAAATAAAGAAAACCAGAACAAGATATATAGCTGACAGTCATCTGCATTGGAAGAAATGCCATGTTTCTGAAGTATGGGCCAAAGTTGGAGCAAAAACAGTAGAAAGAGGAGGGGCTTTAAACAGAGTCCTGTGGAACGCCACATAAAATAGAATAGAATTGTCTTCGTAGTCGCTGTAGGGCTTGTATACAATAAGAAAAGAGCAGAAGAAAAACAGATTCACCAAGTTTGATGTAGAAAACTCCCTCCGCCAATTAGGACATGAACTACTCTAGAACTGTGTCCTCGATGCCCACCAAAAAAGAAACTATATCTTTGTCATCAGTATCCGATGTAGCAGTTAAATCTAAAAGCACAAAAACAACACAATCACCCACTTCAGTGTAAAACACAATATGCAATTAGAGCAGAAATGTCACTTCTCTACAGCTTTGTAAAAACAAGAAGGCATTTTTGGAAACAACCATGTTTTATTTAGAACGGGCCTTTTGTGTATTTTGTGCAAGAAAGTATCTAGTCAAGCAATAGATTTCTTTTAATGCCACTTATAGAATGCAAATGCACCAATCTTTACTTTATTGTACTAGATCATCACAT